TGTGGTGTGCTCTCTCCAGGTGTCCCCTCCCCTGCTCTGTCACCCCCCCCCTTCCCTGGTGGTGGTGTGCAGGGGGGGGGGGGGAGGGGGTGATTGTGGTACAGGGGGGGGGGAGGGAGGGATGGGGTGATGGTGTAATTTACCATGATGTACACAGCACATGTGCCCTCCGTTAAGGACTGCACCCCACCAGTACTACGCTTGTACTCCCACAGCGACACTAAGGGCTTGAAAGCCTACACAGTGAAGCCATGACAATCATTCTAGAGTCTCCAAGACTGTGAGAACCTGGAAGGTAGAGAAGGTCCTGTCTCACTGGCGCAGAGTGCTGAACCTGGGGCCATGGACCTCCCCACGGGACCATGGACCTCCCCACGGGACCATGGACCTCCCCACGGGGTCGTGGACCTCCCCACGGGACCATGGACCTCCCCACGGGACCATGGACCTCCCCACGGGACCATGGACCTCCCCACGGGACCATGGACCTCCCCACGGGGCCATGGACCTCCCCACGGGGCCATGGACCTCCCCACGGGGCCATGGACCTCCCCACGGGGCCATGGACCTCCCCACGGGACCATGGACCTCCCCACGGGGCCATGGACCTCCCCACGGGGCCATGGACGTCCCCACGGGACCATGGACCTCCCCACGGGGGACCATGGACCTCCCCACGGGCCATGGACCTCCCCACGGGACCATGGACCTCCCCACGGGGCCATGGACCTCCCCACGGGGCCATGGGGCCATGGACCTCCCCACGGGGCCATGGACCTCCCCACGGGACCATGGACCTCCCCACGGGGCCACGGGGCCATGGACCTCCCCACGGGGCCATGGACCTCCCCACGGGGCCATGGACCTCCCCACGGGACCATGGACCTCCCCACGGGGCCATGGACCTCCCCACGGGGCCATGGACCTCCCCACGGGGCCATGGACCTCCCCACGGGGCCATGGACCTCCCCACGGGGCCATGGACCTCCCCACGGGACCATGGACCTCCCCACGGGGCCATGGACCTCCCCACGGGGCCATGGACCTCCCCACGGGGCCATGGACCTCCCCACGGGACCATGGACCTCCCCACGGGGCCATGGACCTCCCCACGGGGCCATGGACCTCCCCACGGGACCATGGACCTCCCCACGGGGCCATGGACCTCCCCACGGGGCCATGGACCTCCCCACGGGGCCATGGACCTCCCCACGGGGCCATGGACCTCCCCACGGGGCCATGGACCTCCCCACGGGGCCATGGACCTCCCCACGGGGCCATGGACCTCCCCACGGGGCCATGGACCTCCCCACGGGGCCATGGACCTCCCCACGGGGCCATGGACCTCCCCACGGGGCCATGGACCTCCCCACGGGGCCATGGACCTCCCCACGGACCTCCCCACGGGACCATGGACCTCCCCACGGGCCATGGACCTCCCCACGGGGCCATGGACCTCCCCACGGGGCCATGGACCTCCCCACGGGACCATGGACCTCCCCACGGGGCCATGGACCTCCCCACGGGACCATGGACCTCCCCACGGGGCCATGGACCTCCCCACGGGACCATGGACCTCCCCACGGGGCCATGGACCTCCCCACGGGACCATGGACCTCCCCACGGGGCCATGGACCTCCCCACGGGACCATGGACCTCCCCACGGGGCCATGGACCTCCCCACGGGGCCATGGACCTCCCCACGGGGCCATGGACCTCCCCACGGGGCCATGGACCTCCCCACGGGGCCATGGACCTCCCCACGGGGCCATGGACCTCCCCACGGGGCCATGGACCTCCCCACGGGGCCATGGACCTCCCCACGGGGCCATGGACCTCCCCACGGGGCCATGGACCTCCCCACGGGGCCATGGACCTCCCCACGGGGCCATGGACCTCCCCACGGGACCATGGACCTCCCCACGGGGCCATGGACCTCCCCACGGGGCCATGGACCTCCCCACGGGGCCATGGACCTCCCCACGGGGCCATGGACCTCCCCACGGGGCCATGGACCTCCCCACGGGACCATGGACCTCCCCACGGGGCCATGGACCTCCCCACGGGGCCATGGACCTCCCCACGGGGCCATGGACCTCCCCACGGGACCATGGACCTCCCCACGGGGCCATGGACCTCCCCACGGGGCCATGGACCTCCCCACGGGGCCATGGACCTCCCCACGGGGCCATGGACCTCCCCACGGGGCCATGGACCTCCCCACGGGGACCATGGACCTCCCCACGGGGCCATGGACCTCCCCACGGGGCCATGGACCTCCCCACGGGGCCATGGACCTCCCCACGGGGCCATGGACCTCCCCACGGGACCATGGACCTCCCCACGGGACCATGGACCCCCCCACGGGGCCATGGACCTCCCCACGGGGCCATGGACCTCCCCACGGGGCCATGGACCCCCCCACGGGGCCATGGACCCCCCCACGGGGCCATGGACCTCCCCACGGGGCCATGGACCTCCCCACGGGGCCATGGACCCCCCCACGGGACCATGGACCCCCCCACGGGGCCATGGACCTCCCCACGGGGCCATGGACCTCCCCACGGGACCATGGACCTCCCCACGGGACCATGGACCTCCCTACCCCCACGGGGCCATGGACCTCCCCACGGGACCATGGACCTCCCCACGGGACCATGGACCTCCCCACGGGGCCATGGACCTCCCCACGGGGCCATGGACCTCCCCACGGGACCATGGACCTCCCCACGGGACCATGGACCTCCCCACGGGGCCATGGACCCCCCCACGGGGCCATGGACCTCCCCACGGGGCCATGGACCTCCCCACGGGACCATGGACCTCCCCACGGGACCATGGACCTCCCCACGGGGCCATGGACCTCCCCACGGGACCATGGACCTCCCCACGGGACCATGGACCTCCCCACGGGACCATGGACCTCCCCACGGGGCCATGGACCTCCCCACGGGACCATGGACCTCCCCACGGGACCATGGACCTCCCCACGGGGCCATGGACCTCCCCACGGGGCCATGGACCTCCCCACGGGACCATGGACCTCCCCACGGGACCATGGACCTCCCCACGGGACCATGGACCTCCCCACGGGGCGGGGGACCATGGACCTCCCCACGGGACCATGGACCTCCCCACGGGACCATGGACCTCCCCACGGGACCATGGACCTCCCCACGGGACCATGGACCTCCCCACGGGACCATGGACCTCCCCACGGGGCCATGGACCTCCCCACGGGACCATGGACCTCCCCACGGGACCATGGACCTCCCCACGGGGCCACGGGACCATGGACCTCCCCACGGGACCATGGACCCCCCCACGGGACCATGGACCTCCCCACGGGACCATGGACCTCCCCACGGGATGGACCACGGGACCATGGACCCCCCCACGGGACCATGGACCTCCCCACGGGGCCATGGACCTCCCCACGGGACCATGGACCTCCCCACGGGACCATGGACCTCCCCACGGGACGGGACCATGGACCCCCCCACGGGGCCATGGACCTCCCCACGGGACCATGGACCTCCCCACGGGACCATGGACCTCCCCACGGGGCCATGGACCTCCCCACGGGACCATGGACCTCCCCACGGGACCATGGACCTCCCCACGGGGACCATGGACCTCCCCCCACGGGGCCATGGACCTCCCCACGGACCATGGACCTCCCCACGGGACCATGGACCCCCCCACAGGACCATGGACCCCCCCACGGGGCCATGGACCTCCCCACGGGGCCATGGACCTCCCCAAGGGGACCATGGACCCCCCCACGGGACCATGGACCTCCCCCACGGGGCCATGGACCTCCCCACGGGACCATGGACCCCCCCACGGGGCCAGGGCACACCCCCCCACCCGTCCCCCGGTGACCATGGACCCCCCACGGGGCCATGGACCTCCCCACGGGGCCATGGACCCCCCCCACGGGACCATGGACCCCCCACGGGACCATGGACCCCACGGGGCCATGGACCTCCCCACGGGGCCATGGACCTCCCCACGGGATGGACCATGGACCTCCCCACGGGGCCATGGACCTCCCCACGGGACCATGGACCTCCCCACGGGACCATGGACCTCCCCACGGGACCATGGACCCCCCCCACGGGGCCATGGACCTCCCCACGGGACCATGGACCCCCCCCACGGGACCATGGACCTCCCCACGGGGCCATGGACCTCCCCACGGGACCATGGACCTCCCCACGGGACCATGGACCTGGACCCCACGGGACCATGGACCCCCCCACGGGACCATGGACCCCCCCACGGGGCCATGGACCTCCCCACGGACCATGGACCTCCCCACGGGACCATGGACCTCCCCACGGGACCATGGACCTCCCCCACGGGACCATGGACCTCCCCACGGGACCATGGACCTCCCCACGGGACCATGGACCTCCCCACGGGACCATGGACCTCCCCACGGGACCATGGACCTCCCCACGGGACCATGGACCTCCCCACGGGACCATGGACCTCCCCACGGGACCATGGACCCCCCCACGGGACCATGGACCCCCCCACGGGACCATGGACCTCCCCACGGGTACATATGTGGCTCAGTAGGTCAGTGAAAGTGAAATAAAACTTTAACATATATATATTCACAGTATCCTTATGTTAAATATTCTAGTCAATATGTGCCAGATGTGCTTATACGCAATTTGTTTAAGGAGGAGATCCTTAACTTTCACCAGATTGTCCAAGCGGTCTGTCACTGGGGAGTAGAAGAACCCCCAGCACCCCATCAACCAGGTATCACCCAGGTATCAACCAGGTATCAACCAGGTATCACCCAGGTATCACCCAGGTATCACCCAGGTATCACCCAGGTATCGACTCAAAAGGTTGAGATTCACCGGGGTTCAGTGTTAAAAGCAGAGTTATGGAACCGAATGCAACGCTCGCCATTAAGATAATCAGAGACGCTGCTACAGTGATATTGCCAAGAAACAAGCTAAGATGTCTTCAAATTACAGGAGGAAGCAGGAAGCACAGAGCGTGGCCAGAGATGAGAGGCACCTGGTTGGGGCAGCCCGGCCCGCCTGGAGGCACCTCACCTCCGTGGCAGCAGCAGGAGGACCCGGGTACCGCTCAAGTCCTCACCTCCGTGGCAGCAGCAGGAGGACCCAGGTACCGCTCAAGTCCTCACCTCCCTGGCAACAGCAGGAGGACCCAGGTAACGCTCAAGTCCTCACCTCCGTGGCAGCAGCAGGAGGACCCAGGTACCGCTCAAGTCCTCACCTCCGTGGCAGCAGCAGGAGGACCCAGGTACCGCTCAAGTCCTCACCTCCGTGGCAGCAGCAGGAGGACCCAGGTAACGCTCAAGTCCTCACCTCCGTGGCAGCAGCAGGAGGACCCAGGTACCGCTCAAGTCCTCACCTCCGTGGCAGCAGCAGGAGGACCCAGGTACCGCTCAAGTCCTCACCTCCCTGGCACCAGCAGGAGGACCCAGGTAACGCTCAAGTCCTCACCTCCGTGGCAGCAGCAGGAGGACCCAGGTACCGCTCAAGTCCTCACCTCCCTGGCAGCAGCAGGAGGACCCAGGTACCGCTCAAGTCCTCACCTCCCTGGCAGCAGCAGGAGGACCCGGGTACCGCTCAAGTCCTCACCTCCGTGGCAGCAGCAGGAGGACCCAGGTACCGCTCAAGTCCTCACCTCCCTGGCAGCAGCAGGAGGACCCAGGTACCGCTCAAGTCCTCACCTCCCTGGCAGCAGCAGGAGGACCCGGGTACCGCTCAAGTCCTCACCTCCGTGGCAGCAGCAGGACCCAGGTACCGCTCAAGTCCAACACGGTACCACCAGAAATGAGCCATAAGTATTCAAAGAAATTTATATAGAAGCCGGAAACGAATTAGATCACATGTACAGTGATGATGGGTCAAGTAATATTACCCCTGCCAGGGATGGGGCAGCAGACACTGTAATTAGGAATAGTCTTTCAATACGGAGCCGGTCGGCCGAGCGGACAGCACGCTGGACTTGTGATCCTGTGGTCCTGGGTTCGATCCCAGGCGCCGGCGAGAAACAATGGGCAGAGTTTCTTTCACCCTATGCCCCCTGTTACCTAGCAGTAAAATAGGTACCTGGGTGTTAGTCAGCTGTCACGGGCTGCTTCCTGGGGGTGGAGGCCTGGTCGAGGACCGGGCCGCGGGGACACTAAAAAGCCGCGAAATCATCTCAAGATAACTCAAGATAACGGAAATGAAGAAAAAGCACGTATTGAGAAGAATGCCTCCTCACCGCAGCAGAGCTAACTGCCAGTTTTAAAGCATTAAGATTACTTGAAAGAAACATCTTTAGTCCTTGTTTCAAAAGCAGCAGTACAAAGCCTTAGGAAAAAACAATCAGAAACCCTCGCAATGGTTGCTGAAATCAAGAGAGCTGTGAGAGTACTAACCAATCAGGGAAGAGTGATCAAGTTCCTGTGGATCTCCTCTCACGTTCAAATCTGTGGGAATGAACGAGCAGATGTGCTGGCTGCCGAGGACGCTGAAGGAGGCCACACATCATACCACAAGCTGCAGGTACCAACAGACAACATCCCGTCACAAGGTAACTGATGAAAAGGAACAAATCAGTGAATCTATAAGGTGGCACAATGTAGTTATAGCTGGCCAACCAGGTCATTATGGACGAAGAGGAGGCGGCCGCGGGGGAGAATCAATAAGAACAAGAATCCGTCTTGGATACAAATATCCATGGAGACTCTGGATGGAAACAACAGTTGAGCGGCGAAGTTGCAGAATCTGTGATGAGTGATGGACACCGCCTTGACCACTACCTCAGAGAATGTGAACACCTGAGAGACATTAGAAATATGTGTAGAATAATAAACCCCACACTGAGTTAGGAAAACACTGTTTGCCAAATATAGATACTGTTCTTAAAAATATTCTCCATTTTGAACAGCAAGATAACGTAAGTTTAGGAGCTGGTAAATATTAATCTTGTTTGATAAGGAGATCATTTGAGACAGTTAAGCAACTCCTAGCTGTATTCACCTAATTCTCCTTGTGGGGTTGAGCTCTTCTCTTTCGGCCCGCCTCTCAACTGTCAATCATTCAACTGTTACTAATTTCTTTTCCACACAAACACACACACACACACACACACACACACACACGCACACACACACACACACGCACACACACACACACACACACACACACACACCCAGGAAGCAATACGTAATAGCTGTCTAACTCCCAGGTACCTATTTACTGCTAGGTAACAGCAGTAAATAGTGCATCCCTGTTGTACATCAGGGGGGAAATAAACTGCCCATTTTGTTTCTGCCATCCCCGGGGATCGAACCCGGATCCCTAGGATTACGAGTCCAGAGCGCTATCCACATAGCTATCAGACCCCAGGCCTATCAGGCCTCCTATTAGTCCCAGCTGTGTCTGGGTACAAGTGACAGGATGAACAACCCAGCGGGTTTTCTTTCTATTGGGGAGTGTTGTACATGTTGCTATAGTGGTGTGTCCACTCACAGGATGATTGGCGCTGCCCAATACTGTCACTATGGCGGTGTGTCCACTCACAGGATGATTGGCGCTGCCCAATACTGTCACTATGGCGGTGTGTTCACTCACAGGATGAGTGACGCTGCCCAATAAACTCGTCCCTCGAGGCTAAACTTAAAATGTGGAATAGAGGAGTGGTTGGTGGTGCATGGGAGAGTGGAGGAAGGGGCAGGCTGGCCCGGGAGAGCATGACCAGGCAGTCAGACCCCCACAGAGCAGCCGTGCCCAGTGACAAAGAACATGGGCGGCGGGCATGTAGCAATTCGTGTCCAACACCGCCACTGACACCCGATGCTGGCGGGGCGCTGCCTTCCTCCCTCACAGCCGCCATTACTGCCTCCTGCCTCGCCAGCCCTCACTATCCTCCTTCCATCCCGGTCAGGAGGCTAGGAAGTCACCCCCAGAGGAATCCTGGGGTGACTGGCCCAGTTAGCGGGGACCGTCGGTGCTTTTCAACCTCATTGGCGGTTCCTCAAGGTCTATGGCGCGGCTAAGACTTATGGGGACGACTGCCCACACCTCTGGGCATTACACGCAGTCAAAAGGCTAATAAATTTGTTTTCAGACTTGGACACAATACAAGTCTCCTCCAGGGTGCGCTGTTTGCAAGCTGTGAGCTGGCGCGCTTTCTTTGGACGGGAAATGACGTATGTATACAACTCGTCCGATTCTAGTTTCATTGACTAGACAGTAAGTATTTGAGGTTTACAATAGGACGTAAACTTCCTGCCACAGCTTGGTGAGAGCGAGCCCGCGGCGCGCTCACCCTCCTTGACACTCGGCCAGTGGTGACCAGGCAATAATTACTATCCTAGTTATCCAGAAAGCATCTGTACCTAATGGTGAATGAAGCCGAGTCTTACGAGCTAAGGCGACGTATCGGATCAGACAAAAGCGCGGGAAAGTGGTTGGTGGCGAGAGATTAATGGCGGCATCGTCAATACCATCTAATGGCGGCGACAGCTGCGTTCGGATCTCCAACATGCGCCATCAAGAAACTTAAAACGAGTGATTTTTAATATTATTTTTAAATACAATTTGATTTTAAACATGCTAACAGTTTACGACTGAAGGTCTAACCATTCCAGAGTTCTGCAAGTGGGAAAGGGAGACCCTAATGTGTTGAGTGGCCGAGGGATGGAAGCCAAGACTGAAGGGATGCGGAGGCAGGGAAGGTAACATCTCCATCGCTGGCTGCGGGGGGCGGCCACGTCTGGATGCTTGTCCTAACCTAAGTTTTCACAGCTCGACCAACACATTTTCATAAACGTTCAGCGTGATTTATCCTATTATCTGCTACCCATTGAAGGCGGCTCTGATGAGGCGCGGCGCACAACCTTCTTAATTTGACCCCGTTACTACGAAGGGGTCCCCGTGAAGGCAGGACCCGGGAGTGACGTCCCCGTGAAGGCAGGACCCGGGAGTGACGTCCCCGTGAAGGCAGGACCCGGGAGTGACGTCCCCGTGAAGGCAGGACCCGGGAGTGACGTCCCCGTGAAGGCAGGACCCGGGAGTGACGTCCCCGTGAAGGCAGGACCCGGGAGTGACGTCCCCGTGAAGGCAGGACAAAAGAAAGTGACGTCCCCGTGAAGGCAGGACCCGGGAGGGACGTCCCCGTGAAGGCAGGACCCGGGAGGGACGTCCCCGTGAAGGCAGGACCCGGGAGGGACGTCCCCGTGAAGGCAGGACCCGGGAGTGACGTCCCCGTGAAGGCAGGACCCGGGAGTGACGTCCCCGTGAAGGCAGGACGCGGGAGTGACGTCCCCGTGAAGGCAGGACCCGGGAGTGACGTCCCCGTGAAGGCAGGACCCGGGAGTGACGTCCCCGTGAAGGCAGAACCCGAGAGTGAGGTCCCCGTGAAGGCAGAACCTGAGAGTGAGGTCCCCGTGAAGGCAGGACCCGGGAGTGACGTCCCCGTGAAGGCAGGACCCGGGAGTGACGTCCCCGTGAAGGCAGAACCCGAGAGTGAGGTCCCCGTGAAGGCAGAACCTGAGAGTGAGGTCCCCGTGAAGGCAGGACCCGGGAGTGACGTCCCCGTGAAGGCAGGACCCGGGAGTGACGTCCCCGTGAAGGCAGGACCCGGGAGTGACGTCCCCGTGAAGGCAGAACCCGAGAGTGAGGTCCCCGTGAAGGCAGAACCTGAGAGTGAGGTCCCCGTGAAGGCAGGACCCGGGAGTGACGTCCCCGTGAAGGCAGGACCCGGGAGTGACGTCCCCGTGAAGGCAGGACCCGGGAGCGACGTCCCCGTGAAGGCAGAACCCGAGAGTGAGGTCCCCGTGAAGGCAGAACCTGAGAATGAGGTCCCCGTGAAGGCAGGACCCGGGAGTGACGTCCCCGTGAAGGCAGGACCCGGGAGTGACGTCCCCGTGAAGGCAGAACCCGAGAGTGAGGTCCCCGTGAAGGCAGAACCTGAGAGTGAGGTCCCCGTGAAGGCAGGACCCGGGAGTGACGTCCCCGTGAAGGCAGGACCCGGGAGTGACGTCCCCGTGAAGGCAGGACCCGGGAGTGACGTCCCCGTGAAGGCAGGACCCGGGAGTGACGTCCCCGTGAAGGCAGGACCACACCACTGCCACACCTACAGGACACCACTACCCCAGCCACACCTACAGGCCACACCTACCCTAGCCACACCTACAGGTCACACCTACCCCTAGCGACACCTACAGGTCACACCTACCCCAGCCACACCTACCCTAGCCACACCTACCCTAGCCACACCTACTCTAGCCACACCTCCAGGTCACACCTACAGGCCACACCTACCCCAGCCACACCTCCCAGCACCAACAAAGACCCCATAAAGAGTAGTGTGAGGGGCAGCAGGAGGAGGCAGGCACACCTCTGGTATATGGCAGCGGTCCAGGTCTTGTGGATAATGTAATTAATATGATTTGCTGTAAATCACGGGATTAGCGCCGCTGTAAGTCGTTTTATGGAGGAAATAAACTACGACGGCCCACGGGGCCCTTCACCCTGGCTTACCCCCCGACCAACATGGCGGGGCCCTTCACCCTGGCTTACCCCCCGACCAACATGGCGGGGCCCTTCACCCTGGCTTACTACCCGACCAACATGGCGGGACCCTTCACCCTGGCTTACCAGCCGACCAACATGGCGGGCCCTTCACCCTGGCTTACTACCCGACCAACATGGCGGGGCCCTTCACCCTGGCTTACCACCCGACCAACATGGCGGGGCCCTTCACCCTGGCTTACCACCCGACCAACATGGCGGGGCCCTTCACCCTGGCTTACCCCCCGACCAACATGGCGGGGCCCTTCACCCTGGCTTACCAGCCGACCAACATGGCGGGGCCCTTCACCTTGGCTTACCCCCCGACCAACATGGCGGGGCCCTTCACCCTGGCTTACCAGCCGACCAACATGGCGGGGCCCTTCACCCTGGCTTACCACCCGACCAACATGGCGGGACCCTTCACCCTGGCTTACCCCCCGACCAACATGGCGGGCCCTTCACCCTGGCTTACCCCCCGACCAACATGGCGGGGCCCTTCACCCTGGCTTACCACCCGACCAACATGGCGGGGCCCTTCACCCTGGCTTACCACCCGACCAACATGGCGGGCCCTTCACCCTGGCTTACCCCCTGACCAACATGGCGGGGCCCTTCACCCTGGCTTACCCCCCGACCAACATGGCGGGGCCCTTCACCCTGGCTTACCACCCGACCAACATGGCGGGGCCCTTCACCCTGGCTTACCACCCGACCAACATGGCGGGGCCCTTCACCCTGGCTTACCACCCGACCAACATGGCGGGCCCTTCACCCTGGCTTACCCCCCGACCAACATGGCGGGGCCCTTCACCCTGGCTTACCACCCGACCAACATGGCGGGCCCTTCACCCTGGCTTACCACCCGACCAACATGGCGGGGCCCTTCACCCTGGCTTACCACCCGACCAACATGGCGGGGCCCTTCACCCTGGCTTACCACCCGACCAACATGGCGGGGCCCTTCACCCTGGCTTACCACCCGACCAACATGGCGGGGCCCTTCACCCTGGCTTACCACCCGACCAACATGGCGGGGCCCTTCACCCTGGCTTACCACCCGACCAACATGGCGGGCCCTTCACCCTGGCTTACCCCCCGACCAACATGGCGGGGCCCTTCACCCTGGCTTACCAGCCGACCAACATGGCGGGCCCTTCACCCTGGCTTACCCCCCGACCAACATGGCGGGGCCCTTCACCCTGGCTTACCACCCGACCAACATGGCGGGGCCCTTCACCCTGGCTTACCACCCGACCAACATGGCGGGGCCCTTCACCCTGGCTTACCACCCGACCAACATGGCGGGCCCTTCACCCTGGCTTACCCCCCGACCAACATGGCGGGGAATTCATGTGTCCTTTTGCGGGAGTGTGAGGAGGGGGGGGGTGACATCTTCACCACCAGCCCCCCCTCACACTTGGGGGGAGTGTGAGGGGGGGTGACATCTTCACCACCAGCCCCCCCTCACACTTGGGGGGAGTGTGAGGGGGGGGGTGACATCTTCACCACCAGCCCCCCCTCACACTTGGCGGGAGTGTGAGGGGGGGGGTGACATCTTCACCACCAGCCCCCCCTCACACTTGGGGGGAGTGTGAGGGGGGGGGTGACATCTTCACCACCAGCCCCCCCTCACACTTGGCGGAGTGTGAGGGGGGGGGGTGACATCTTCACCACCAGCCCCCCCTCACACTTGGGGGGAGTGTGAGGGGGGGGCGACATCTTCACCACCAGCCCCCCCTCACACTTGGGGGAGTGTGAGGGGGGGGTGACATCTTCACCACCAGCCCCCCACCCTCACACTTGGTGGAGTGTGAGGGGGGTGACATCTTCACCACCAGCCCCCCCCCCTCACACTTGGCGGGAGTGTGAGGGGGGGTGACATCTTCACCACCAGCCCCCCACCCTCACACTTGGTGGGAGTGTGAGGGGGGGTGACATCTTCACCACCAGCCCCCCCTCACACTTGGCGGGAGTGTGAGGGGGGGGTGACATCTTCACCACCAGCCCCCCCCCCTCACACTTGGCGGGAGTGTGAGGGGGGGGGGGGTGACATCTTCACCACCAGCCCCCCACCCTCACACTTGGTGGGAGTGTGAGGGGGCCGGGTGACATCTTCACCACCAGCCCCCCCCTCACACTTGGCGGGAGTGTGAGGGGGGGGGTGACATCTTCACCACCAGCCCCCCCTCACACTTGGGGGGAGTGTGAGGGGGGCGACATCTTCACCACCAGCCCCCCCTCACACTTGGGGGGAGTGTGAGGGGGGGTGACATCTTCACCACCAGCCCCCCACCCTCACACTTGGTGGAGTGTGAGGGGGGGGTGACATCTTCACCACCAGCCCCCCCCCTCACACTTGGCGGGAGTGTGAGGGTGGTCTCCGGGGCCCGTAAAGGGGGAGTATGGGGACAGGGAGCCAGCAGGCGCCACAACACCACCAGCACACCTCACCAACCGCTAGTTAGGCTTCAACAAGCTAATTAGCAGCGGACTACACACAGTGGCTGCCAGGCTTGTCTCCTGGACACACCTGGCTGGGGGTGTGGGGTGGACACACCTGGCTGGGGGTGAGGGTGGACACACCTGGCTGGGGGTGTGGGTGGACACACCTGGCTGGGGGTGTGGGTGGACACACCTGGCTGGGGGTGTGGGTGGACACACCTGGCTGGGGGTGAGGGTGGACACACCTGGCTGGGGGTGTGGGGTGGACACACCTGGCGGGGGGTGTGGGTGGACACACCTGGCTGGGGTGTGGGTGGACACACCTGGCTGGGGGTGTGGGTGGACACACCTGGCTGGGGTGTGGGTGGACACACCTGGCTGGGGGTGTGGGTGGACACACCTGGCTGGGGTGTGGGTGGACACACCTGGCTGGGGGTGTGGGTGGACACACCTGGCTGGGGGTGTGGGGGACACACCTGGCTGGGGGTGTGGGTGGACACACCTGGCTGGGGTGTGGGTGGACACACCTGGCTGGGGGTGTGGGTGGACACACCTGGCTGGGGGTGTGGGTGGACACACCTGGCTGGGGTGTGGGTGGACACACCTGGCTGGGGGTGTGGGTGGACACACCTGGCTGGGGGTGTGGGTGGACACACCTGGCTGGGGTGTGGGTGGACACACCTGGCTGGGGTGTGGGTGGACACACCTGGCTGGGGGTGTGGGGTGGACACACCTGGCTGGGGGTGTGGGGTGGACACACCTGGCTGGGGTGTGGGTGGACACACCTGGCTGGGGGTGTGGGTGGACACACCTGGCTGGGGGTGTGGGTGGACACACCTGGCTGGGGGTGTGGGTGGACACACCTGGCTGGGGGTGTGGGTGGACACACCTGGCTGGGGTGTGGGGTGGGCACACCTGGCTGGGGGTGTGGGTGGACACACCTGGCTGGGGGTGTGGGGTGGACACACCTGGCTGGGGGTGTGGGTGGACACACCTGGCTGGGGGTGTGGGTGGACACACCTGGCTGGGGGTGTGGGTGGACACACCTGGCTGGGGGTGTGGGTGGACACACCTGGCTGGGGGTGTGGGTGGACACACCTGGCTGGGGGTGTGGGGTGGACACACCTGGCTGGGGTGTGGGTGGACACACCTGGCTGGGGGTGTGGGGTGGACACACCTGGCTGGGGTGTGTGGTGGACACACCTGGCTGGGGGTGTGGGTGGACACACCTGGCTGGGGGTGTGGGTGGACACACCTGGCTGGGGGTGTGGGTGGACACACCTGGCTGGGGGTGTGGGTGGACACACCTGGCTGGGGGTGTGGGTGGACACACCTGGCTGGGGCAGCCTGGTAAATGACCACCTCCAGGGGTGACAGTCGCCCTAATGAGTACCTCTGGTGTGCTCCCATTGTTCTCAGCGGTCACTCTTTCTTTACTGTGTGTGTGTGTTGTGTTGCGCTTGCTGCTGTCAACCTGTCCTCTTAAAAAGAACGTCGCTTTTGGCCGTTTGTCCGTATGGCCGAATTTGGACGTAATTTGAAAATGAAGAAAAAAATGAAAATAAATTTGGGATTTTTTTTTCAACAACAGTAAGTTAAAGGTCCTCTGATTGGTTAGGTGGGCAGGAAATTCTCATAAAGTTTCAAAACGTTATGAAAAACGTGAATTGAAAGTCATCTATTCTAACCTTACAGAGTTGGCCGGACGACTCAAACAGAAAACGGAACAGTACGTCACTTTTGTGAGTCGATTTCATTTCAAATTACGTCCAAATTTGGCCATAGCGCCGCGCATACGAGCCAAAAGTGACGTTATTTTTAAGAGGACGGGTTGGGGAGTGGACATAACACCCAGCCTAACTCAGAGGCCGCCACTTATCAACACGGTAATATCAGCAGTGTGCTACACTGCCATAAGTCTGAGCACCGAATAGGAACCAAAATAAGGAGGCGTGTAGATCACTGTACACCACCTACGTGAGACCAGTCTTAGAGTATGCCTAAGACTCGAGCCACCACCTACGTGAGACCAGTCTTAGAGTATGCCTAAGACTCGAGCCACCACCTACGTGAGACCAGTCTTAGAGTATGCCTAAGACTCGAGCCACCACCTACGTGAGACCAGTCTTAGAGTATGCCTAAGACTCGAGCCACCACCTACGTGAGACCAGTCTTAGAGTATGCCTAAGACTCGAGC